TCAATTCCTTTTTTTCCTTCAAAGCAAATTTTGAGTAATTTCAAAGCAGTTTCAAAAGTTGGTGTAAAAATAAAAGTTGTTCCATTTTTCAAGATCTACAACTTTGCTTTTATGACCAAAGTCCAATTCCAGATAGATTTTGAATTACAAAATAAAATCGATGTTAACTCAAAACCCTAATTTTGGAGAATTATTTTTAAAGGCAAAATTTGGTAAAAATTTAAATATGAACTTTGCTCCAGATTGTATCCTAAATATTCATAAGCTATCTTAGTGATCACAACAAGAATCATGGCATCCAAACATGAGCATGGCATTTCACATTGTTTGAAACATGAATGAATTTCAATCACTTAAGCATCACATGAAATGATACTTCATTTCTTTCGAAATGAAATGCATGAATGATGATTATGCATGAGGTGATGATGATTATGTTCATGGGATGGAATGTTAGTGCATGCTTAACACCGAGGTGTTACATACTCTATGTGACCGCATCAAGACCGGATGTCATGTTTAGTGTGTGCATATGGGCAAGATTCCAAGCCTCACCAAGAGAAAGTCATTTGAAGGCTACAAAGAGAATATTGAGGTACTTGAAGCATACACAAAATGTTGGTTTGTGGTATCCCAAAGGAGCAAAGTTTGAGTTAGTTGGATATTCGGACTCTGATTATGCGGGATGCAAGGTTGAAAGAAAGAGCACATCGGGCACATGTTAATTGTTGGGAAGATCACTTGTTTCATGGTCATCAAAGAAGCAAAATAGTGTTGTATTATCAACCGTCGAAGCCGAATACATATCCACCGGTAGTTGTTGTGTAAAAATTCTTTGGATGAAGACCACCTTGAATGACTTTAGAATCAAGTTTAAGAAAGTGCCATTGCTATGTGACAATGAGAGTGCAATCAAGCTAACCAACAATCCGGTTCAACATGCAAGAACAAAGCACATTGATGTCCGCCACTATTTCATTAGAGATCATTGACAAAAAGGGGACATTTGCATTGAGAGTGTGGGCACCGAAGATCAACTTATCGACATATTCACCAAGCCACTAGATGAGAAGAGGTTTTGCAAGCTAAGGAATGAGTTGAACATATTAGATTTCTCAAATATGTGTTGATGCACCCCCACTTATATGACATGTCTCTCCTTTGAGCAACCAAGGTAAAAATTGATTGGCATGCATACATACTTTGCTAAGGACATGTTTAGTGCACCTAGTCATTCCTCACATTCAAAAGGCTCATTCATGAAAAACAAATGAATTTGATACTTGTATGGTACCACTATTGCTTCTATGCTTGACTTGATCTAGTGGTAGCATATGACATGTTTGTGGGCTTGTGAACCTAGTGTTTGATCTAGAAAATGAGCTATAAGTGTTTAACTCAACATGATCAAGGTAACCCTTGAAATGAGGTGTGAACAAGTTTCTCCTTGGATTAAACCAAGTTAAATATCTTTAGCAAATATTCTAGATTGAACCAAATTTGGGAAAATAATCCTCACCCCATTGATTGATATTGATAATCTTAATGTATCTAAAATTAAACATTTGTGGTCATTGATGATAAAGGGGGAGAAGTAATGCACAAAGATAAAGAAAAGATGAGAAAGGGGGAAACTTTGACATAGGGGGACAAATATGAAAGAACTTTGACATAGGGGGAGAAATATGAAAGTAAGGGGGTCAATTAAAATTTGAGCACACAAGTAGGGAGAGCAAGCTCATGGACTTAATTGATGCATTTGAATATGCATTTACATATGCTTGCTTGCATTTGTCAAGTTTAAATTTGATATATATGCTTGTGTGGTGTATGCTAGTTGTAGGTTTGATTGATGAAATGAAAAACTAGCATGCATAGGATGATAGTTAGATATACCTTCCTTACTTGTTTGGTTTTCAAGTGGTACTAGAGCCTTGCATATAATGTTGATTTCATAAGGTATCTAGTATTTATGTTTTGCAAGTAATTCCATGTGGTATCTAACTAACCATGGTGCTAAGGATGGTATATTTGATGCACTCCGATTAGTATCACGCTTCAAAGGTCCATCTCTTACACCTTAGCATATGTGCAAGCTTTAAATTCAAACTCTTAGCACATATGTAGGGGAAGCAAATGCTATCAATTCGGGTTCATGAAACTTGTCCAAATCCTTTACACATGGTAAAAATGCTTGGGAAAGCAATATGGATTCAAATTTGAATTTATTTCATATCTTTGTGGAGGTTGTCATCAATTACCAAAAAGGGGGAGATTGAAAGCCCTAGTTTGGTTTTGGTGAATTGATGAAACCCTAAGTGCTAACCCTTTGCTCTAAGTGATCATGAGATAGGGTAGCACATTTCAAGTGATGGAGCAAATGATGATCATCATGAAGGTAGTGATGGCCATGGTAATCATGTTCTCAGGCATGGAAAAGAAGAAAGAGAAAAACAAAAAGCTCAAGGCAAATGTGATATCCATAGGAGCTCTTTGTTTTTGGTGATCAAGACACCTAGTGGGTGTGATCACATTTAGGATAGATAGCCGTACTATTAAGAGGGGTGAAACTCATATCGAAATGCGGTTATCAAAGTGCCATTAAATATTCTAACTCATTGTATATGCATTTAGATTCTAATGAGTGCTAACACCCTTGAAAATATTTGTGAAAATATGCTAACACACGTGCACAAGGTGATACACTTGGTGGTTAGCACATTTGATCAATGGTGGCGAAGTTGGTGAAGAGGAGGTGTTGTTTTCACTGACCGGACTCTGGTCACGTAGTGATCGGACTCTGCGTTGGGTGCATCCGATCAGTGGCACAGAGGCGCGCGGCATCGGTCTTCATGACCGGCCTCTGAGCAGTGGCGTGACCGGACACGTAGGCCCTACGTTAGGTCGCTACTGACGTACGCTGACGCAAGGCTGTGCGCTTGGCTTGTGAGAACCGGACTCTGGCCTACGTCCGATCAGGGTCTAGGGGGCGCGTCCGATCGTGAAAGTGGCGCTCTGGACCCTCTTTGGATTCGACCTGACTCTGGTTGGCGAGGCATTAGGTCAAGTGAGCGGTGCGTCCGGTCAGCGCTTGGTGGCGTGGGCGCGCGCGGGCAGGGCTGGCACTGGTGCGTCCGGTCCTGCTCGACTGCGTCCTTTCATGACTTAAGTGTTTGGCGCGGCACGTTTGACCATTGGAGATCTATGGTGCACGTTTGAAGTAGGGGCCATGCGGTGCTCATCGGGTGACCGGACGCTGGGGGCGTGCGTCCCGTCACCTCTGACCGGCACGTCCGGTCGACCGGCAGTGAGTTGCTCGTGGTGCCCAACGGCTCTATTTCATGGGGGCACCTATTTAAGCCCCATGACCAGCTCTAGGTCACTGTCTTGGCCATTTTCATTGACATAGCAACCTAGTGAGCTAAGCCAAAGCCCTTCCACTCATCTCCATCATTGATTCATCATCTTTGTGAGATTAGGAGTGAATCCAAGTGCATTGTTTGAGTGATTGTATCTAGAGGCACTTGATGATTGTGTTTCGCTATGGATTTCGCTTGTTTCTCTTAGTGGTTGCCGCCACCTAGACGGCTTGGTGCAGTGAGGATCGTCGAGCGGAGGGTGGTGCTTGTCTCCGGCTCCGATCATGGTGATTGTGAGGGGTTCTTTACCTTTCCCCGGTAGAGAGCCAAAAGGTACTCTAGTGGGTTGCTCGTGGCTTGTGGATCCTCATCTTGTGTTGGTTGTGCGCCACCTGATTGTGGATTAGGCATGTGATGCCTATTAGCGCGTGAACCACCAAGTGAGTGAATCATCACAACGGGGACTAACTTGCCAGCAAGCAAGTGAACCTTGGTGAAAAATCATTGTGTCATCCTGTCTCCGAGAATTTCATTGGTATTCATTGTGATTGTGATCATCTCTTGCCACGGCGGTATAAATATCACTACCTCTCTTGTATTTACTTTACTAGTGTAGCTAAGCTTTTTAGTATGATTAGTTTTGAGAGCTAGCTTATGTCTTGTCTAGTGATTAGTGAGGCTCTTTAGTTAGTATTTGAGAGCTCACTAAATTAGAGAGTAGTGACTTAGCCTCTTGTGTAAATTAGAGATCATAGCAACTAGAATTCTAGATAAGAGGCTTGTATTTTTAGTAGGCTAGCACAACACTCGCTTCGCTTCATAATTATCTAATCACTTGGTTTAATTGTTGTTATAGAAATTTTAAATAAGTTATTCACCTCCCTCTAGTCATTAGCACCTTTCAGTCATGCAAATGAGTAGAGCACGCGCATTCTCGAGCATTTCCATTCTTGTTAGGAGTGGTAACATAGAGTTTTGATTAGCTCGTAATTGGCTTTGTGTTACTTAATTTTTTTTTTTTGTCAAACATGTTTTCATTAGACATATTTCTTTTTGTTTAGTTGTATATTTTGTACATAAACCAACACACACGTTGACATCGTGTATGCAACTTGTCCAAATTTTCGACAAATGAATTAGCTTTATTTGTTATTAATGAAAACACAAGTTTTAATAAACAGTTCGGACGTTATGTTTAACCACATATCCATCAACCATCAAGCCATCCTAATCATCTGGGCTTCATGTTGTTTAGCCGAACAGTATACAACCAGCTGGCCCGTACAACCATCGGACACCATCGGGCCTCTGCTAATGTGCGACAAAACTCACATCACATGAGACTTGAGGAGCGAGTCCGGTGAACATAACAGGACACAGCCGCAAGGGGGAAAATGTCCGTGCTATACAACAAACATGATCCTATCTGCACTTTTGTCCATTACGAGTGATTCTAAACATAGACCAGTATGGAAAAATTACGCGTTATTAATTTCAACCATGTGGTGATAATGATCGTGGGTTCTGAAATTCAGTTGTTTCAAGCTCCTGAAACACATGGTCTTTCTCCAGGTGGTGTGCACGGTTGTTTGAAGGGCTGGTAGCTGTCGGTTGTCGATCAAAGCATGAATCCACCGTCCATCACAGATTTGATCTCGACGCGTAGTACCATAGCGACGTCAATCCTGCACCACAAGTGAACAGTCAGACGAATGACGAGGAGCGTCAAAATCTGACGGTGCGTGCAACTGTGCAAGGGTCGGGCACGCTAACGTTTTGTGTTACCTGAGGCGAGGATGGCCCAGCGAAGCGCGGCGACAGCGCGCGGCGTGTCGGCGGCGTCCGACCGTGCTGCGTCGGCCGAGGAGTCGCAGTTCGAGGTGGAGTTCCAGTCCCCGCAGAGGCACAGGTCGGCATGGCTCTCCATGTCATGGCCGCACGCCCCGCCCGTGGCGCGGCACGCGCCGCAGAAGCCGCGGTTGGACTCGGGCAGCGTCCACGACACCCGGATCCCGTACGCCCACCCCGCGGCGCCGCCCTCGGCGCGCACGGGCGCGAGGCTGTACGCGCTGCTGTACCCCTCGCACTCGAGCCGGCTCACGTTCACCGCTCGGATGGCGGCCCAGGGCACCGCGCAGCACTCGGGCGGCTGCCCCGCGGCCGTGCCAGTGCCATACGCGGCGTCGCCCGACGGGCGCCGCCCGCCGCCGGCGTAGTAGTCGTCCCAGGCGGCGCAGCCGAGGTAGTCGCCGCACCCCATCCCGGACACGTTCCGGCAGGGGAGGTGGCGGTCGGGGAAGCCCTGGAAGAGCGGCGAGGTGGCGCGGCAGCTGAGGAGGAGGAACACGTTGTCCGGGTCCGGCGACAGGTACGACTCCCGCCACGGCTCGAGGACGAAGCCGTTGGCCCGCCCCGCCGGGGTGAGGTCGAGCGCGCGGCAGTCGGACATGGCCGGGTCGTGCAGGGTGAGGCCCCGGTAGGCGTAGTCCACGTCGAGGACGCGGTAGGAGCCCGAGGGGAGGTGGAGCATCAGCGCGCCGTTGATGCAGAAGAGGAGGTCGCGCAGTCCCGCGTGGCCGCACCCGGGGTGCAGCGCGAACGGGTAGTCCACCGTGATGTTGCCGCAGAACGACCGGCACGTAGTGATCGGCACGTTCGCGGCCGCCACGGAGGCCAGCGGCGCCGTGGTGGTGCACGCGCATAGCAGGGCGAGCAACGCAGCCAGGTAGCGACGCGGCGGTGCCATTGCCTTGCCCCTGCGCGAGCACGATGCAAGGTGGAACTGAGAGTGGCAAGAATTGAGCAACACACGCCGGCTAAGGGCTAGCCTTGGGGTGGTATGAACTGTGACAAAGCAGCACAAGACAGATCGATTCGTTGCTTCCTTCGGAAGAAGAAGAGCTGGGAAGCATCATTTGCTTTTCTTTACCGACGTTCTGCCTTTACCTTTCTTTTGATTTTATTAATTTCCCCCACACGGCTTCATCTTGTCTTGTGACGTGGACGAACAAAACAGTCACAACTCAAACTCTAAAAAAACAGTCACAACTCACAATTTTTGGATAAAACCGTGGCTTTGCCGTTGAGCTTTGCTCCTAGAGACCACAAGCCAGGATATAATAGTCATGTCATGTGCAATTCAAGTTCTTTCACATGACATGAATAATTAAGAGTTAAATGCACTCTAGGTCCACAAACTTGTTTAGGGGTGCTAGATAGGTCTATAAACTTGAAAAATGCATTTGTGGCATAGTAATCTTAAGTTTTGGTTCACTCTAGGTCCATGTTGCTAAATAAGCAGGTTTATGCTGATGTGGCGTGTCCAGGGTGGACTGAGCCTCCCAGCTGTGTCACATGAGCGGCGCGTGATGCACCCAGCCAGCCCGGCAGCCCGCATCCTCTTTGCCAATATGCAGAAAGCCCCCACCGCATCCTCCTTTTCCCCATTTGACCGAGGGTTTTGTTTTCGAGTTCGTCGTGCGGGAGGCAAAGAGACAGGCGAGCGGGAGAGGCGACCGTGGAGTGAAATCGGCATCGTGATTGGAGTGTTGTGCGGCGACGACAGGTCGTTCTCCCCGCGGCGAGGGCAGTCTTCCCCGGCGATCCTGGTGGAAGTGCAGAATGAAGGCCAGAGTGCGGCGAAAAGGGGAGCCACCCCCTAATTACAGTAAGTGCCTCCAAGGTCCAATCTTGGTTGTGTTTCATAGTGTTTATCGCTGATTTGTTGAGAAGGATTCATGGATGGGGTCATATAGAAGCTTTTTTGCCTAGGCTAGGGTTTCTGACTTGGTTGTTCTAGGTCGAATTAGATGGATGGATGCCTGAATATGTTCTGTTGTTGTTCATGTAGGTGGAATTAGTGATCAGTTTACAGTTGAGATACATCACAATGGTTTCTTTATTGGTCATGGTACAAATCGGTCATACATTGATGAGAGAGTGAGCTTTATCGATCATGTTCAAGCCCAAACTTTGTGTCCACAGACCTTTCATGACCTCAGTTTCATGCTTCACTATCCAAGGAATCCAGAATTGAAGGTGTTTTGGTTACTTCCTGGAAAGGATTTCCCAGATGGCATTAGGCTAATTGTTTCAGAAGAAGACACTTTAGTGATGGCTTTAATTATGCACAAAGTGAAGACACTTGTATTGTATTTTGATCATGAGGCCATTACATCATGCTCAGATTGGGATGATGTAGTTGCAAACCCTGTTGCATCCTTGCCTAGAGTGATCAGTCCATCCAAAGGTCAGACAAGGCAGAGAAACAATGAGGCAATAGATGATGAAGGCCCTGAAGATGCACATGATAGCTCAAGTGATGACAGTGATTTTGATGATAGTGATTATGACTTAGAGGATGATGAGTACCTTTTTGTTGACAATGTTGATGAACATGTGACAGATGAAGGTGTTGCCAAAGGGAGGAAGATAGCTAAGGGAACCAAGAGGGCAACAGGAAGGACCAGTACTGAAACTTCAGTAGTTGCTCATGATGATGATGAAAATGAGGAGTCAACTGATGATGATAGGCTAGAATTACCTCAGTCTGATGGTGAATGTGAACCAACATTCAAATTCAAGTCATTCAAACCAGAGGACATGGACCACCCAGTGTTTAAGGTGGGTATGATGTTTGACACTGTTGAGATGCTAAGGAAGGCTATAACTGAATACAGTCTTAGGAACAGAGTGGATATCAAGATGCCTAGGAATGAACAGAAAAGGCTTCAAGCTAACTGTTCAGAAGGATGTCCTTGGTTCCTTTATGCATCATATGATAAGAGGGCTAATGGCATGATGATCAAGACTTATACTGGGAAACACAGTTGCCAGAAGCAATGGGTCTTGAAGAGTTGCACATCTACTTGGCTTGCTGAGAAATATATTGAGACATTCAGAGCAGACCAAAAAATGTCACTATCCAACTTTTCTAGGACAGTGCAGAAGGAGTGGAATCTTACTCCATCAAGGACCAAGCTTGCTAGAGCTAGAATGTTGGCTATGAAAAAGGTGCTGGGAGATGAAGAGGAACAATATAACATGCTTTGGGATTATGCACATGAGTTGAGGAAGACCAATCCTTACAGCACCTTCTACCTTAACCTAGATGGCAACATATTCAAGTCACTGTATGTGTCTCTGGGTGCTTGCAAAAGGGGATTTCTTGGAGGATGCAGACCTATTATTTGTTTGGACGGGTGCCATTTGAAGACTAAGTATGGTGGTATAATGCTTACTGCAGTTGGAATTGATCCTAATGATTACATCTTCCCTATTGCTTTTGGTGTAGTTGAGGTGGAATGTTTAGATTCTTAGAGATGGTTCTTGACAACACTGAAGCAGGATTTAGGGATTGAGAACACATACCCCTGGACACTAATGACTGACAAGCAGAAGGTGAGGAATCTTGTGAACTTATGACAACTGTGTGTGATTGTTGTATACTTATGACAATCTGTGTGCTTGAATTTTGCAGGGCCTAATTAAAGCTGTGGGTGAAGTATTTCTAGAGTCTGAGCACAGATTTTGTGTTAGACACATGTACTCCAACTTCCAACAGCACTTCAAAGGTGAGAACTTGAAAAAACAACTCTGGGCATGTGCAAGATCTAGTATTGTAGTTCGGTGGACAAAAAACATGGACAAACTTAGGGTGCTAGATGAGAAGGCTTATAAGTGGGTTGAGAAAATGCCCCCTAACACATGGTCTGGATCTTTTTTTAGTACTTACAGCAAGTGTGACATTCTATTGAATAACAGTTGTGAGGTTTTCAACAAATTTATCCTAGATGCTAGAGAAATGCCTGTGTTGAGTATGATAGAGCAAATTAAGAATCAATTGATGGCAAGGCACTACTCCAAGGAGAAAGAACATGGAGATATGTGGTAGGGTCCAATATGTCCTAAAATAAGGAAAAAGTCAATAAGATTTCTGAGTGGGCAAACACATGTTATGCCATCCCTTCTGGTAAAGGAATCTTTCAGGTTCAAGATAGGGACCATAGTTACATAGTTGATATAGGACTCAAGAAATGTGAGTGCAGGAGATGGGATCTCATTGGAATACCTTGCTCCCATGCCATCTCATGTCTTAGGCATGAAAGAATTCCTACAGAATTAATGGTCCATGACTGTTATAGTTCTGCAAGGTTCCTTGTAGCATATGGTCCTAAGATCATGCCATGTAGTGATAAGACCACCTGGGAGAAGGTATCTGCACCCAAGGTTCTACCTCCCAAGTATGAGAAAAAGGTGGGTAGGCCTTCAAAGAATAGAAGGAAACTACCAACATAAATAGAAACTGCTACAGGAAGTAAACTGTCAAAACATAGAGTGGCTATGACATGCGGCTACTGTGGAGACAAAGGCCACAATAAGAAGGGTTGCCAGCTTAGGAAAGCAGGACTGATGCCCAAAAAATAGCCAGAGACCAATGCTGAAGATGAAGAAATAAGACAGTCAGATCAAGGGGAAGCAATGCCAAGTAATATGCATGAAGAAGACATGTATGATTATGCAAGGGCTCAGGTACTTGCAGTGCTACAAATTTGTCTCATTTCACTACCATGCAACAAATTTGTCTCATTTCACTGACATTATTCTGTTGCAGACTGTGTACCATTTTGTAGATGGGAGTCAGCCACCATGGTCTCAGATTACAGAAGGAAGTGTAGAGGTAATAGAGACAATGATTTCACATCTGGACCAAGAGGTATGTACAGAACATCATGACTGTCACTATTTTCCTTTGCATTTCACAACCTGACTATAGAATTGTACTAGTACATAGGTTGCAACATCAAGCGTCCAACCTCAACCTCTGCCTGACTCAACCTTCATCATGTCAAACCTGCCTGCTGCAAGACCTGTAGCACCATCTACTGCTACCAAGAAAGGAAGAGCTGCAGTAGGAAAGTGCAAGGTGCCTACAAATCCCAAGGAGAAACCTCAGGTTGCAAAGAAGCCAGGGAAGAAGACTACTCCAACAGAAAAAACCGCCTGATCCAGCTGTTGTCTATAAATATGTGATGTAGCACCCAAAACAATGTGATGTAACACTTGGATGCTGATATCATTTTGGTACTAGAGTAACTTAGTGAAAGTCAGATTACTAGAGTAACTTAGTGGTGGTGGCACCAGTACACACAGGTGGTGATAGATGCTTTTGATTGACTGGTGGTGATACCAGTTACGCACAGATGACATGCTTTTGGTTCTGTAAGATGAAAGTGCTACTGTTGATGACTTGGTTGCCATGAATGCTGCTTGTGAATTTTTTCAATGCAATGTCAAGCTCAGTTGGTGTCAAATATTTCCTGTGTCCACAATTTCTGTTAAAATTTTGCCTAGGTTCACATTGCCTGCCAAATATTTCTGTCAGCCTCAAAGATTACTGGGTTCACAATTTGTGTCAAATATTTCAAGATCAATGGCATGATACTAACTGCCATTCCATTACATCATTATGGTTAACAAAAGTACAGACTAACAATTTACATGATGTCATTGACTACACTAACAGTACTAACACTACATGGTGCCATTCACTTCACTAACAACACTAACAAGATCAGCACCTGAACTACTAGCATACAAACACACACAAAACATAGAGCTTTCAATGTCACAAGCAGTTCTTCCCTAGGTGCTACTGCTAACACTCCTGACTCCTTCACCATTGGTTCTTCCCTAGGTGCTACCAGCCCAATATCCTTCATCTTAGAAGCTACTACCTCCACTTTGGGAACTCTAGTGCTGTGCTCTCCATCACTTGCCAACAATGGAGCCAACAGTACTTCCCTGGCTAGCACCTTCAGATGCTCCTCATACTCATCTTCCCAGTAGAAAAAAGGACAACCTGAATTCCTCTGCAGCCAAAATGAAATCAAGATCGAGATGCAGCTCATAGGCAACCAAGAATCAAACTTTCCAAACCCTAACTTACCTTATGGAAGGGGCAACAGTAAAAAACTTACCCTCGGCTGTGCTCCTACGTTGAAACCCGTCGCACCACCCTCCATCGGCTGCAATCCGAGCATATGATGAGAGGGAGGTCAAGGTTTTGCGCCGATTCAGGATCGAGCCGATCCTTTATTTGCGCCATGGAGGAGATCGACAGAGTGGAGGTGCGAGCAAGGGAGAGAGAGAATGAGGGGAGCAGGGGAGCCCGAGAGAGAGCAAAGGATTGAGAGAGAGAGCGAAGGATGATGCGGCGGAGGGGCTTTTCTGCATATTGGCAAAGAGGATGGGCTGCTAAAATTGGTGGGTGCATCGCGCGCTCACGTGACACAGCTGGGAGGCTCAGTCCACCCTGGACACGCCACATCAGCATAAACCTGCTTATTTGGCAACATGGACCTAGAGTGAACCAAAACTCAAGATTATTGTGCCACAAATGCATTTTCCAAGTTTATGGACCTATCTGGCACCCCTAAATAAGTTTGTGGACCTAGAGCGCATTTAACTCAATAATTAATGTTGCCAGAGCCTAGGACGTCGTCGAACAATCCAAATACACGTTCAAATTATAATGACCATCATATGTGCAAATGTGCAATGTGCTGTTTACATACGACGCGAGGAATATAGATAACTATTTATTAACTATTATTAAACAGGCATCAACCTAGGTAAATCAGTAACTAAGCCATAATGCTTCACTGAAGCTGAAATTTTTATACCATAGCTCAAGCATACAGTGAGTAGTCTACCATAAAAATTTCACCACAATTAAAGTACAGGAGCTGAAGTTATGAATTAAACACAGGAACACGTAGATCTACAGCAACACCAAAAACTTTAAGCTAAAGCAGGCCATATTATATATCTATTGCATTGCTCTACTCATGTGTGGAGTTTAACAAAACTATATTTTCCCTTTTTTTGATTTTTCTACTATTTTATACCATTTTTCAAAGTTTTCAGCTAGTTTATGAAGTAAAAAAGAGTATGTGGCGCCACATCAGTGGCCACGTAGGCAGCAGAGTCCTATGTGGCCTTTTTTGGATGACTGCTAGGATGTAGACAAAGTTCATGGACCCAGATGAGCGGAAAAAAGTTCATGGACCTATGTGAGAAGTGGGGGAAAAGTTTAAGGACCCACAGCGAAAATCACACTTTCTCTTAATTACTTAAAAAACTTTGTAAGGTTTTGTCCTAAGTGAACCATTTATAACTTTAGTTAACAAAAACTATAAGAACATATAATCTTTAACTGGCATTTAATACTAAAATAGTTTGTAATGAATCTAGCAATGTTACTCCATGTATAGAGTTTTGGATGCACCAATAATAATCAAAGTTAAGATTCACTTTGGAAAAACCTACCTAGAATTTTGCACAGATGAAGTAATAATAATACTCATGTTCTAAGGCGCCATTCCTTTTTATGAAACAGGACAGGGCCAGGCCTCTACTAGTTCATACTCTATCCATCCAATACAAGGTATCCAAGAGATTTTAAGACAAAATAAGAGTAATTAGGATGGAGTAGTTTAATTGTTATTTTTCTTAATTATTAGTTGATTGTTTTGGGTGAAGCTAAGTTCAAAAGGAATCTCATATTTTCTGCCAAGAAAGACAAAGGAGAGGGGGTGTTCAGGACCTAGAATACTTTGTATTTTGATACAAATTTTGAACGTCGGATCACTTATATATTCCAGGACAGAGGTCTAAACAATAAGGGAAAAGTAGAAAAATGAAAAATAGCTTAGGTTCCAAGTCATTTCCTTAATTCTCATATCTTGTGGTCCAAAATTGCCTCAAGGTCAGCAGCTCAATGAACAACCCCCTAGTGGTACGAATGCAGTGTTAGCGGGTGTTTGGATCCAGTGACTAAAATTTAGGAGATGTCACGTGAGGATGTTGTATGGGGTGTTCGGATACTAATAAAAAATAAATTACAGAATCCGTCAGTACTTCACGAGGCGAATTTATTAAGCCTAATTAATCCGTCGTTATCACATATTTACTGTAGCACTACATTGTCAAATCATAGGTTAATTAGGCTTAAAAGATTCGTTTCTTAAATTAGTCGTAAACTATGTAATTAGATTTCGTAATTAATCTATATTTAATACTCCGTGCACGTGTCCAAACATCCGATGGGTCATCGACTAAAATTTAAGAGTAGCAACCGAACACCCCCTTATTTTGAGCGCTTTGATCGATCTATAAATGAACAACCACTGAACCACCCAGTGGTACGAATGCTTTCGAAACAGTAGCAGCAATGGGTTGTACCCGAAGTATGTCCTACGTATAGCCGTGCTCTTTTGCGTAGGGCCCTTGAATACGAGAATTGAGATCCGAATTTTTTTTAATCTAAATTTGATGCGTATAGCTGTGAACAAACAAGGACCTTCGATGTGTCGCAGCGGACACGAAATTTTCTTTGAAACCAGCATGCGGGCCTACAGATTTGATTGCGAAGAGCGCGGTCCACCAAACGAAACCAAGCCCGCTACTAGTCTAACGGTAATATTAATATATAACGTTACGCAAATCAAACAGGCGAAATCTTAGCAGCGGAAGACGCCGCGGCGCAGCCTAGCGAGGGACAGCGCTAGTACTTCTCTGCTCTGCCACTCTGCCGTTGCTGCCGGCTGCCGCAGTGTCTTCCTCCTCGGTCCAGACCCCGACGGCCACCATCCCGGAGAACACGCGTTCTCTCTCTCCCCTGCTACGAACTGACTGCCCTGTCCTTTCCCTCTCCACCACTGCACCTCCTGTCACTTCCCCAACCTCTTTTGTCCGTTACATCACACACTCAAGAAGCCGTCCACGCCGCAATGCAGCCGTCGCGCTCACAGCACGCTAAACATCGCCTAGGACTAGGAGGGACGGGAACGCACACGCGCTTCCGCACCCAGGTGCTGGAGACGCCCCTGGATCCGGGATCCGATCCTGAGTACCAGGACTTCCAGTTCCGGTTCATCCCGGAGGTGTTCGAGCTCCAGATGGGCGGCGTCGCCGTCGGCGGCGGCGGCGGGGCAAGGAACGGAGACGGCAAGGTGACGGCGGAGAAGGTTCTTGCTTTCGAGTTCGAGAAGGTCAGGATCAGCATTGCGTCCAGCGACGACGAGGCGGACGGAGACGCGCCGCCGAGGAGCTCCTTCTCCGGGGCGAGCCACCCGCCGGAGCCGGTGGACGAGATGGACACCGTCTTCGTCGCTGTCGACGGCCGGGAGAAGCCGGTCCCGAAGCCAGTCATGTCGTGGGACGCGTCCCCGCCGCCGAGCGGCGCGGCGAGCCCGCACAGCAGCATCGACAGCTCCGGCGCCGCGGCCACGGTGACCAGCCTCGCGCCCAGATGCACCGTCACCAGCAGCCGGAGCGCCAAGACCAGCGTCAGCAGCAGCGCCGCCAGCGACGGGAGCGGCTGGAGCAACGGCACCGGCTCCGGCGCCGGCGCCGGCGGCAGCGCGGGGAAGCCGCACAAGGGCGGCGACCCCAGGTGGAAGGCCATCCTCGCGGCGCGCGCGCGCGACGGGCCCCTCGCGATGGGCAGCTTCCGCCTGCTGCGGAGGCTCGGGTGCGGCGACATCGGGACGGTGTACCTGTCCGAGCTCAGCGGCGGGGGCGCCGGCAACGGCGGCGTGGCGAGGCCCTGCTGGTTCGCGATGAAGGTCATGGACAAGGCGTCGCTGGAGAGCCGGCGGAAGCTGAGTCGCGCGCAGACGGAGCGGGAGATCCTCCAGCTGCTGGACCACCCGTTCCTGCCCACTCTGTACGCGCACTTTGAGACCGACCGCTTCGCCTGCCTTGTCATGGAGTTCTGCCCCGGCGGCGACCTCCACGCGCTCCGGCAGCGACAGCCCGGCAAGCACTTCCCAGAGCACGCGGCAAGGTACTCATCCAAGCCCTGTTTGATTCTTTGCTTCACACCGGTAGCCTGTTCGGGAGGCGATGCTTCACTACCGGTAAATTTGTTTTGGAATTGCAAACAATTGTGTGTGTGTGGTGTATATGACGTGAGTCAATCGTCATACAGAGACACAGGCATCCATTGTTGCACTGCAATTTTTTGCTTTCAGTTGTAGTTGCAGGCTTGCGGTCTTGCGGCTGTGGGTTAATTTTTTTCTTAATTGTTCTCTGGATTTTGAAACAATTTTGTTTCTATAAAAAAAACGGTCTTCCCATTTTTTAGCATCACTCCCAAATCCCATACCCATATACTCTGACATGGCTACAGGAGTACGTATAGAACACTAAGCTACTGATGTGTCTGGTGGTTCCATTCCTAGGTCGTGCTAGTGAATTTTTCAAAAATAAAAAATCATGCTACTCAGACTGCTAGTTAAAGTTGTTTTTTTTATTTACTACTTTTAAAAGGAGTGCTAGTTAAAGTGATGCTATCTTCTTTGCTTTCCTCACTGTTTCTATCACGCTTAACAAATTGATGCCTAAATTAGCATAGACGCAATGTTTAATGCATGTCTCATGCTGTAGAACATGATTCCTATATTAGCATAGGAACAATGTTTAATGTCACATTTGCACATTTCCATCATTGCTTCTTGCACTATTCGTGAATGCATACAACAACATGCAAGTTTCAGACAACCATTCATTGACAAGAGTCTGAAACTCTGAATAAACAGATTACAAATGTAGTCATTCAGATTCAGGGAACCTAATGTTCTGCCAGATAAAGTTTGATCGCACGAAATATGTAGTATCGCACTGTTTTGATCCGTATGATCCTTTCCAATTTTTGCCAGGTTTTACGCCGCAGAAGCGCTCCTTGCGCTGGAGTACCTGCACATGCTTGGCGTGGTCTACAGAGACCTGAAGCCGGAGAACGTCCTCGTGAGAGAAGATGGCCACATCATGCTCTCCGACTTCGACCTCTCCCTTCGTTGCGCGGTCTCGCCGACGCTGGTGAGATCTTCCCTGAACTCCGACCCCAGGAACGCGCAGGCCTGCGCCGCCCAGCCTACCTGCATCCAGCCCACATGCTTCATGCCCAAGCTCTTCGGCCAGAGGAGCAAGAAGAGCAGCGACAGCAGCAACAGCACCGCCAAGAAATCCAAGGGCGCCGAGCCCAGGCAGCAGCAGGCTCCCACCGGCCTGCCCGAGCTCGTCGTGGAGCCGACCGGGGCGCGGTCCATGTCGTTCGTGGGGACGCACGAGTACCTGGCCCCGGAGATCATCAAGGGCGAGGGCCATGGCAGCGCGGTGGACTGGTGGACCTTCGGCATCTTCCTGCACGAGCTCATGTACGGCAAGACGCCGTTCAAGGGGCAGACGAACCGCGCCACGCTGTTCAACGTCGTCGGGCAGCAGCTCTTGTTCCCTGACTGCCCCGGCACGAGCAACGCGAGCAGGGACCTGATCAAGGGCCTGTTGGCCAAGGAGCCCCAGAGCCGGCTGGGCGTGAAGAGGGGCGCGGCGGAGATAAAGCAGCACCCCTTCTTCGAGGGCGTCAACTGGGCGCTTATCCGGTGCAGCACTCCCCCCGGCGTGCCCAGGGCCGTCGAGCCCGCCGCCGTAGCACTGCCTGCGCCGGCAAAGCCAGCGTCGGCACCGGCGCCGGTGGAGAGGGTGGAGATCAACAGCAGCAGCAAGAGGATGGCAGGAGCTGCCGCCGGTGCGGAGTCCGGAGGGAAGTTCCTAGACTTCGAGTTCTTTTAGCTAGTCTGATTAGTTGATTGACGATACTCGTTGCGATTCCAGTTGTAGGTGTAGTTCCATACTGGAGTGTTAGCGTTTGGCCAGTGACATGTCTGACTGGTTCCAGTTCTAAGTGTGTTGCATTGTCTCACTCTGTTGCTTGTTGAGAGTTGAGACTAATACCATGTCACTAGACACTAGTAGTTGGTCAAAGAGTAAGCCATGAAGTTTGAGCAGTCGAAAAAAAAAATATTTTCATCATGCCTGTTGCCATTAAAAGTTGTATTACTAGCAGATTACTACATGATCAGCAGCGAAATACACCAGGTATCCTGTACTGTATCAAAATGTGAATGCCCCGTAATATGAAGGGTATCCTGTACTGTATCAAAATGTGAATGCCCCGTAATATGAAGGCCTTGTTTAGATTGCCTCAAAATTCTAAGTTTTTTCATTCTCTCTTTCGTCACATCAATTTTTGGATGTATGTATGGAATATTAAATAGGTAAAAAAATAACTAATTACACAGTTTGATTGTAAATTATGAGATGAATCTTTTGAGTCTAGTTAGTCCATGATCGGACAAAGTTTATCAAATACAAATAAAACGTGCTATAGTATCTGGATTGCAAAAATTTGCAATCTAAACGAGGCCGAAGTGTTGAACAGAGGAAAATACAGAGCCCCATGCCCCACTACCACCTCGTAAACATACGTTAGTATACGTGCTGCACTACACGACCAGGTTCTCTGGTGCGCCGATGAGCCCCATGCCGGCGGCGGCGGGGCTCCGGTGCCGCATGAGCACGCGCAGCTGCGCCCGCTGGCACTCGAGGTTGGACACGAGATCCACCCTCTCCTCGCGCGGGCCGCGCAGGCGCACGGCCTTGGGGAACTCCACGAACCCCTTGATCCCCCTCCGGATGTGCGGGTTCTCGCCGCCGCCGGGCTCTCGCCGGTGCGGTTGACTCCGGCTCGGGCTCTGTTGCCCGTGCTGACTCGTCGACTTGCTGCCGTTGGGGCTGCTGCTGCTCTTGTTGATGTCGTTGGCGGAGGCGGCGGTAGTAGCGTGGAGCTGGGCCACGGCGTCGTCGATCTCCCGCAGCTTCTCCTCCACGGCCGCCCTGGCGTCGGCGAGCTTCATCTGCACCCGCTCCTCGCGCCAGAGCTCCGCGACGCGCAGCATCCGCCGCTCCTCCTCGAGGCCCACCAGCGCGCGCTCCGCGTACGCGCGCGCGCCGCCGGCCTCCTCCCGCAGCGCCCGGCACTCGGCCTCCGCGGCCTCGCCCCGCCGCCGCTCGTCGGCCAGCTCCGCCGCCAGCGCCTCGCTCAGCGCCTCCGCCTTGCGCCGCATGCGCCGCTCGAACTCCAGCTCCGCCCCCAGGTCCCTGATGCGCGCCACGCAGAGCTCCAGCTCCGACGACATGGCGCCGTACCCGTACCCTTGGTCGTCGAGCTCTTCCTCCTCCTCCTCGTCGTCGCCGGGCGCAACGATCATAGGGGGCTCGGGATCCCTGCGGCGGGCTTGACAAGAAGAGGGCGAGCAGCAGGATGAGAGATGGGGGCTGTAGTGCGGGGCGTAGTGGGGGTTGTGATAAAGCTTCCAAGGTGGAGAGCCGGCGCCATGATTGGCCTCCACTTGCACCGACGCCATATTTTCCGAGCTCGGGATCCAGTATTTTACCCGTCCGCCGTCCTACTCTACTCGAGGGCAGGGGTGGGAAAGTGACGCATGTCGCATGGCCCCAAGGTCTGGTCACCAGCTCCTCCAAGCTTCGTCTTTGTGAGCTGTAAAAGGAAGGAGATGGTCACGTCCCCCTCTCACTGTCTCACATGCATGGATCCCGATCTCGATGCCGCCATCATGGTGGTTCATGATCCTCGTCGGTCGTCGCTTTTCATACGCCCGCAGGCTGTTTATCATTCCGTCTCTGCACCTTTGGTCGGCTATGCCGATGCGGTGACGCTGGCATTGTGGGTGTAGGAATCATGTGCGCGCCATTGCTTTTTCAGTTGAGCGCGCATGCCACGCAGCCCCGTCGCGTCGCATCCTTTGCAGAAGCTAGTGGTGACTACTATAGCGTCTAGTGCTTGCTCTCGATGAACATTGAACAAGCTCCAGGGACCAGAGGCCAGGGCATCTTGCTAATCTTCAGCCTGTTCATTTGTGGTTTGAGTCAGCTCAAACTAGCTAGCCAATAATATTTTTCTCTAAATAAAATCAGTATCAGCCAACCTAAACTAGCACCGGCACCCATTAACGAACAGGCACTTTTGTGCCCGGTGTGATAAGTGCTGGACAGCGTCATTGCTGCCTCCAGTCGTGGTGGCAACCAATTGATTGTCTTTGTTTGATGACCGCCTAATGCCTTTTTTTGGACCATCACCCAATGGTGAAGTACATCACGAGAAGAACTGCATGCCGGTCCTGCACTGCACGTCTGCACCGGCCAGCATGAAGACCGCTCGGAATTGATATCCGCTGCCAACGCTACACCTGCGTCGTGCAGTTTCCGACCCTATTAGCCCTGCCGTACCATAAATCATGTCCGGATCCAATGGCCGGCGGCCGCCGGTCTCGTGCAACGCAGTAATAGCGTGCGCGTATACACGGCAGTATGCAGTACTGACGATGACGATGTAACGGCCACCGGACCTGTAATCTGTATCGCTCGCGTCGTACACCGTGATATCAATCAATGGCGATGCACTCCTATCACACAGTCTGTCTGCATTCAATGTTTCGAGAAAATACTCCTACTCCCTCTATACACAAAGGAAGGTAACTACGATATTTATACCCGTTAAATTAGTTAATGTAACTATAATCACCTCATTCGACTGGTCTGCGATACAGTGAAAAACGGATGGTTTTGAATGAATAAATAGTATTTGTGAGAGAGAATAAGCTGAAACAAGCTAGAACAAGCTGGAACATGACCAACCGAACAAGGTGATTTATTCATATACCTGTTAAAGTAATTTAAGTTGACCAAATTTACTGTAAAATAATATTCAAGTTTATATCTATAAATCGGTTTATTATATATATATTTTATAATTAATCTAATAATATTTATTTTATATAATAAATGTTAGTTTTTTAATTCAAACTTCAAAACATTTGGTTTTTCGAAATGCTAGAATTACATTCTTTTTTGGACGGAGAGAGTAAGTGGCTAGGCAATCTACCTCTAGATAAGGATGGTCTCTACCAAAATACTATGTGATGGTTTTTCTACACTGAGTCTTATAGAAATTACAGGAAAAATCACGTTCTCGATAGATACTTTAAAAAAAATCAAATCATATATCTTATCTCTCCTATCATCAACATATCATCTCTCTTCCTATCTTAGTTATTGTGTTGATATAGTTTTTAAAATAAACTGGATCGGATGGAGTAATTTACAAAGAGAAACTCAAGCAGACTGATAGCTACTAGTACCTTATGTGTTTTGCACGTGAAGTTGAGTGTGAGGTAAGGTAACCCAAGCTTTAGGGTCTATTGGACAGTGTCGGTGCGAAAAGTGATAACAAGTAAATATTTATAGTTTTATCGTACGTTGTGATCGGATGTGGCCTAGTATTCAATGATTCAGGGATTATACTGATTCTGGCAACGTGCCCTACGTCCAGTTTAAGTCGGCCGGTGACTTTATTCCTGAGCCCAGGTGCTCGAAGTTTGCTATGGTGTTACAAATGAGTGGGAATGAGAAAGGGGATGTCGAAGGTCCAGTCGGACTCTGAACCGAAGAGCCAAGAGTGACAGGAGCTCCAACGTGCGCTAAGTATTAGAACGTATGCTCTGTGTAGCTTTAGAGTTCTATAGATGTAGAGTTGTTCGAGTGCTCAGAATGTCTAAAGCTTAGCCGAGAGAGGGAGTCGGAAACCATCCGTCCTCCTTTTTAGGAGAAAGTGCATCCCCTTTTATAGGTGAAGGGGGTGGCCTTACAAGTGAGAGAGAGTGTATGCTATCTAGTCTTGTTGCCCACGCCGTTGGGTACAAGACGGTTTGTCGGCGCCCACAATACTGTTGACGCCCAGATGCATGTGGCAGGCTCCATCGTGTTTTTCTGGTATGGCAAATGTCGGCGCCTACCATACTATAGGGCAAATATCGATGCCCACAACACTGTTCGTGTTCTGACATGTCTGAAATGTTGCAAAGCACCCTTCTGATATGGCCTGGCGGTACTGTCCTACAGGTGTGCAGGGTACGGTCCTCGGTATTACGGTTGACTTGAGTGCTTTGCCTTATCTGCTCCGCTTGATTCTTGGGTCCTCACCGAGCGGGCGTCCCTGGTCGGTCGTTCTCAGTCAGCTCCGACCGCGCCGGTCAGAGAAGAGCTGTAAGCAGAGGTTCGGTGTATTCCTTGTCGGAGAAGCGGGTCAGAGTCGAAAACGAGCGTCGTCCCCTCCTTGGCCAGGCCTTCCGGTCGGAAAAGCGGGTCGGAGTCAGAAGCGAGCGTCGTCCCCTCTTTGGCCAGGCTTTTCGATCGGAGACTGGATCGCTCTTCCGGCCTGCCGTTAGGTATCTGGGCCGGCCCAGGAGTCACGCGTTTGTTGTAAATACCATCTGTTGGGCCGAACTTTTGCTGGGAAGTGGACCCATCGGGGACCCTGGGTTTATGAACCCGACAGGATCCCCCGAGCCCTTTTGGGACTTCTGCGAAGTCGTGAAGGGGCTGTCTATACTCGTTGTACGAGAGCAATCGGATGGGTGTAAGATCGTGAGTCACCGTCGGGCGTGACGGAGCGATGACCCATGCGTCGGGCGTGATCAAGGGGTTGGGCGCGACGGAGCGTGGACCCAGGCGTTGGACCGACGAACCAGCATTTTGATCAGTAGTCGTACAGGTGTAGACAGCATAGTGACCATGCGTCCGTCATTGTGGGTCGATGTGAGTCCCCTAGAACGTCATGTCGTGGAGACGGGTTGTGCTAAGACATGACCGCTCCCTGTACGATGTTAGAAGTTTGACCTGGGGTTGTACTTTCTGGCCCGTAGTGGTTGGTGGCGGCGTGAGCTTTCGTTAGGGACCGTGTTCGAGGGATCGGGCGAAGCGGGGCCAGCCCTCAGACGTCAGGCGACGCGGAGCCAGCCCTCGGGGGTCGGACGAGGCGGAACCCAGCAAGGGGCGTGGCCTTGGTGTTCCTAGAAATCACCTGGGGGATTTATTGACTTGCCAGCGGGTGCGAGCGAGCGCATCCGGTGGGTGTAGCCCCCGGGCGATTCGGGTAGAATCGCCTGGGGATTTTTTTTGAGTTGCCAACGGGCGCGCGCGAGCGCACCCGGTGGGTGTATCCCCCGAGCTTGGGGTTTTTTTGACTTGCCATCGTTCTGAGCCATCGTTTTCGGGCGCGTGGACCCAGCCGTCGGGCGCCAACCCAGACATCGGGCGTGGCCAGGGGGTCGGGCACGACGGAGCGTGGACCCAAGTGTCGTGCATGGCCGAGTGGTTGGTTTAGTTTCGTGTGTTACCCCATCCGTGGTTTCCACAACCGAAGGGGTTGAGCTAACGTCGCTTGCCTCGATGGCTCGAGTGACGCACTCGGTGAGCTCTCTAACGGGTACATCCAAGTGGAATCTGGGTCCGTCGTTCGTAACAGGGTCGGCATAGCTCTCATGTGGCATTCCACTGCTCCTTAACCTGCCTCCCAGCAGATGTTTGAGCTGTTCGGAGACCGACCAGGTGGCATGCTGGGCTCCCCTTGATGGAGATTATGTGGGCATGGCTCGAGGTTATGATCGAATGAGAAGGTTGAGATGACCCTATCTACTTCCGAGCAGATCGGGCAAGGGCTACTGGGCCTCATCTGTGTTTTCTCCCCTAGCTCTGTTTGATGTGGGGCAGCCTCGAGCCCTTCGCGGGCTAGCCTTCGAACCCCGATCGGTCGTCCCTCATGTCGAATGAGGCAACTACTGCTTTATGACGCAACACGAAGCGTTATGATGCATCAATTGCATATACAATGCTTTGGATGTATGGGATGAATGAATGATTGCATGGATGAATGTGTGAATGCATGTATGAGAAAGGATGAATGAATGATTGCATGGATGAATGTGTGAATGCGTGTATGAGGAAGGATGAATGAATGAATGACTATGCATTAGAAAAATAAAAAAAGTATGAAGGTTAGGTAAAGATACCTTGATGACTCGAGTGGCGGGTTTGAGGAGCTCTTAGTGGATATGTCCGAATGAGATCCGTGTCTATTATTCATGACAAAGTCGGCGTAGCCCGCATGGGGCATCCCACTGCTCCTTACCTGTCTCTCGGCCATTGCCTGAACCATCCGATTGACTCAGGTAGCCTGTTGGTCTTTCCTCGATGGAGATCCCATCGGTGGGCCCTTTCAAACCCTGCCTGGGAAGGCAGAAGGTCGTTTGCATGCGGTTGCGCCTTGTTTCCTATGCCTAAGTTGTGGTAGTGGTGGGCCCAACCCAGGCCATGTCCTGTTTTAACCGGGCGACGTTTCGTTGGGTAGGGTGCGTCCCATCGCATGCCTATCTGCATTAAATAGAGGAAGGGAGAGGGGTTTTGTCCCATTCCTTCACCTTTCTCCACCTGCCACCTCTCCTCCTTCTTCCTCCTCGCCAAGCTCATTCGTGCACCACGACGGTTTCTAGGAGAGAGAGAGGGTAAA